GTTAGTTCTAAACACCTCCTTAAAAAGGAAGACAGGATATACGATAGTAAGTGCCCCTCTACACCTCCATTGATGACAAAGATACTAAGTATCTAAAACAAATTAATGGTACAAGGGTAGTGGGTGGCAGTCAGCTATGTTTTTAGATCTTGTAAGTTTGTTTCCTGTGTAGATAATGGTATTGGCAATTATAAATCTATAAAGAACTAGAAAGAGAGTAATTTCATGGTAAGATATGATGCATCTGCTTTTACTTTATAAGCCTTATCCTTGTTTAATTAACTCAGGAAATTATACTGTATTGTCCTTTCTCCACGATGACATAGCTTCCAGAAACACTACAAGTATTAACAGAGATAGCATCTGAAGAAATTATACTTAGCTATGTCCTTGTAACGCTGTGTTATTTGGAGATGGTTCAAGGAAACTTGTATTTTGGAGTAAATATAGACATTTAACTATAAAATATTGCAATTGTTTCATCCAGATTTTCGTTTCATTATGTTTTACACATATATTTTAAATATTCATGTAGAATGATGTTTTCTTGATTTTTCTTCTATTAGAAAATATTTTTGTTAGATTTATTGTGGCTATCATATGCTTTCCTTTTTTACATTTAAATCCTAGAATTCTCTTGAAGTTTGCATTTAATTTTGACTAGCTTATCTTGTAATTTATAAAGGCATAATATGCAAACATGAATTAAGCATTTGAGGCTTCCATACTGAAGTAAGCCTTTTACACATTATATATGTTTTTATTTTGTCACTATAAAAACAAACAATGATTAAAAACACAAATAGATTTTTGAAAAGAAAATCATAAACTTCTAGGCCTATAATTAATGTTTTGGTGATTTTTTTCTATATATTTTGTATGTTTATTTTCACAGATAGATGTATGTAAATGTATAGATAATTACAGAAATCAAATTATGCCGCTTTGTAACCTAGCTTGCCCACTACATTGTTTATAATATATTTCCATATCACAAAGGCAGTTCTACAATAACTATAATGTGTACAAAGTAATTAAGTGAGTTGGCACGTTCCATTTACACTGTCAATTCACTATTACAGTAATTTAGTTTTCAAAGCATTGCTACTATAAACAAAACATTAATGATCATTCTTGGATAAACCTCTTTTAGTACCTGCATTTATTTTAAAATAAATTCCTAATAAAATTGTGAGATCATAGAAAAAAATCTTACAATTTTACACAGATTGTGAACTCAACCTCTGGAACAGTAAAATGATGTGTGTGATCATCTACATCCCCACAGCTTTGACAATATTTTTTGTTACTCTTTTAAACCTTACTCCTCTGATATGCAAAAACCATCAGTTTTTATTTGTACAGTGAGTTTGGTATTCCTTCTTTTGTATTTTGTTCATGAATTTTCCTCACTTTTCTGTTAAAAGATTTTTAATTGATATGTAGAAGTTCTTTTTATAAGTATCTAAACATTGTTATATATCACATTTTCCTAGTTTTTTTAATCTTCATTACATCTTTTTTTTGCCATACAGATTTTTCACGGTTAAAAATATTAATATTTTAACTCAATATTCAAAAAATGATTGCAAAAGCCTTCCCATCTGTAAAACCATAAAAATGTTTTTAAGAAACCATCTATTTTGAAAATATATCATTTTTCATTTTTTTATATTTTAATCTTTGATTGAGCTGGAATTAACATTAAACAGTGAATATACAATAGCTTTATTAAATCCCCTCAATGTTTAGCCATGTTGCCTTAACCACATTTATTGAAAACTCTATCTTTCCCCATTCACTCATGGATTTTTAGATGCTTATCACTTGTTTAAAATCCATAGTATACTTGGCTATTTGTTTGGACACTATTCTGTGAATCTACCTGTTCCTGTAAAAATACTACAGTATTTTATTGTAATTTCCAGTCTGTTTTATTTGTGACAGGACAAGTTACTTACCTTCTTCTTCATAATCTCGTCTGGAATTTATGGGGTTTTTTTTCTACAGTGATGTGAATATCTAATTTTCTCCCAAATATAGACAAGGTAATTCCTATAATTTTATTAACTGATCTGCTTTCTGGGAAGGGAGGGAAGTGACAGCACTGTGGCACTGGAAACTTTAAATGACTACATAAAGCCATGAAAGTGTTCGCCTTTGTGAACATGTTTCTAGTGCGAATAGATGTTGACAGTTCTTGCTGTATCATATGCTGCCAGTAGAAACTTCTCTGGTGAAGGGAATGCTCCATGGGTGGATTTTCCAGTATGATAATCACTAGTCACATAGGGTTAAAACAGAATCTACTCAAACCATCACAGTGCATATAGTGTTGATGACTTCCTTTAAGGAGCAGGTGTGAACACACAATTCTGTTTTTATCAAAGTATACAATCATTTCAAGCATAATTTTGACTCATTTTGCCTTCCTAGGTTTTCCCTTTCTTCCCAAATAGCAAATGTTTTTCAATGAGCCAATTCACTGAATTATAGAAGACAAATTTTATGAAGTTTCTTCTAAGCAAACCTGCAATTGTCACTTCATATTTCATCTTTTTATATGGTCAGATTCCTTAGAGTATTTCTTCTTAAAGACAAATAAAACATCAGTGATTCTGCATCTGTGGATCTCTGTTCCAAGTAGGTAATTTGGACTTCCCTAGGTAGGCATACCATCAATTCACCCTGGTAAGCAGCATATGTGTCTACGGACTCTGTTTCTGGTTATTGGCAAACAAGAAGGTGCTATGCATTTAAGAGATTGTTTCTAAGGAAATTAACATGCAAATAAAGATTCAGACCTGATTTTGTCTGTAAAACCCACAGTCCAGAGGCACCCCATAACCCCCCACACTTGATCTTCATTTTTAGCCTCTGTACATAGCTGACAGTAATAGTACTGCAGAAAATGCAAAAGGTCTATTGCTCAACGTGAGGTAAGACAGCTTAAAATACAGAAAGAGCAGCTATACTGCAAAGCTTGTTTTCAATCTCAATCCTACTCCTCTGAAGGCCTGGCATTGGTTTATTGAACAGAAGTACCCATGGCTTGCTGTCACCTAGGCAGTTATGGCTACAGCTTACCTTTCCTTCCAACTAGCTGGGGCTAAAGTGAGTGATCCAAGAGACTCCTATGCTGCAAGATTTCACCCACATTAAAGTACTTTCTATTTAAATCACCTGCATCCACAGTGAGTAATTACAAGCTGTTTAGCCCAGGGCAGCCTGGAGACTTGAGTTCTCACACAGTGAACAGGCAGCTTAGAGCTAAAGCCACTGCATCAGGTTAAGCTACTGAGAAGTGTGACAACATTGATCCTATAGCAGAGTTTACTCTGCAGAGGAAATAAGTAGAAAAGAATAAAAGGGAGGAAGGCAGACACTTTCGGGGCAGCCCATGCTCAGAGATACCCGGGAATTCTACTCTCCCCAGGTGCCAAGGTAATTGCCCAACACCTGTCTGGGGAAGCAGGGAGCACTAAGAAGAACATGTCCTGAGCCCCAAGACAAGCTGAAAGCCCAAATACTCTCCACCTGAGGATAAAGAGCCCAGTGGCTCAGCATTACATGATTAAAACTACCCCCCAAAACCCTCAGGAAAAAAACATTTGCTATAAGGTAGATTGGGGGATACGACTATCAGTAGTTAAATGATCCCCTCCCCAACACCTCATCTATGTCCAGAACTGTAACTCCTTTATTCTTGGAGCCCTCCTCCATAATTGCTATCATCTACCTAGCTGTAAGATGCCCAGTGAATTTTCCAAACCTCTAGAACATGTCTTTTCTGTGCTTCCTCCTTTCCTTTAGTTTCTGATTGCAAAACTTGTTTAATAATCTACAATCTGGTTTCCCTGGCCAAGAAAAAAATTTTTTTTAAAGTTTACACAAGGTGAAATTGAATGTATTGGTGGGAAGGAACTACTTCCCTATTCAGGGACAAGATATTCTTACATAGATTACTCCTCCAAACAACAACAAAAATACTACTGGTAGGCTTCACAGTAACATTTAAGAAAGTTGTTTTCCAGTACTTCTGCTCACTAGTAACTTTTGCGGATAGTGAGTGGGGACCTTATGTACTCATTTGCTAACACCTCCCTCAAAGTTCCTGGGTCACAGAAATGAGGAAGGCATGCCTGCAGAGACCAGGAAAAACCAGTGGAACAGAACTGTTCATAACATACTTTCTTTTCCCAGTCCCCCTGCCACAGCATTTTTCTTAGCTGTCTAAAAGTGACAAATGAAACGGGTCGTTCCACTCCAGGGCCCACTGCAAAGCAATACACTTGCAGGTGACTGTTCCTACTCTCCCTTTCTGGGTTTCCAGCATGAGTCTGAGGCACAACTGGACACTGGTTGGTCCTCTGAGGGACAGTGGGCAAAGATTCAACCTGGAACATCTGTTCAAGGGGCAGCGGGAATTTTGCAGGGAAGAGACTTGTCTTGGGCTTTGCAAGGCTGTCCCTTTATGCTTTTACGGCAGAAAAATAGAGCTTGTTCCAAATCTCAAGAGCTGTCCTCCATCTGGTGCTCTGTGGGAATCCCCAGGAACAGGAGCACATGCTGAGGCACCCTTTGCTGCTCCACTCTGGAGCTGCCTTGGACCCCATCCCCACGGAGTGCTCTTTTGACCTCTAGCATAAAGGTGAGGGGGGGTATCAAAAGTGCCTAACACGAAACTGTTTTGAAGGTTACAAAGCCTAGGATAGCTACAGAGACCACGAAGATCCCGACCTGGGAATGCAAAGCACCTGCTCTGCTTGTTCCTAAGCAATTGCGCAGGTTCCTAACTGGAAAAGAACCTCTGGGCTTAAACTTTCTGAGAGCTGAAAGAGGAGAAAGCAAACCAGCAAGTTTTCTGGCATGGGGACTGAGGCTACAGCAAATCTAGAGCCTTTCTTGGCTGATACCTGCCTGCTCCCTGCTGTCAGGAGCTCAACGCATTCTCCCCCAGTCCGGCGAGCTAACTCTCCGGTTCTGCAAGCAGGCGTTACCTGAGTCCTGTAAAACAACCAGCAACGTCCAGCAGGTCTCAGGCGTGTAATCCCATGTCCAAGGCGAAACGGTGAGCTGGGTTTCCAGGTGTGCTCCGGGTAGGATTTAGCGGGCGTTCAGACTGCCCAATGACAAGCAGGGTTGGAGGAAGTGTTTTCCCAAGCAGCGGACACAACAGCTTCGCCTGTTTCTCAGCTCTCAGTGTCAGCCAGGGAGGATACCAGGAAACTTCTGTCCGCCTAGGGAAAATTTCTAGAGTTCAACGGAGCTTCTGTGGACTCTGGGGGGAACTCCAGGGAGAGCGGCTAAGGAGAGTTCCTAAACCATTCCGCCCTTCTTAGAATGGCAGGTGCTGTCTCTGCTTACTGCTAAGTCTTCTGCCTCCCAGCCTCTTCTTTTTGCGCAACTTTGCTTTGGAGGAGCCTTGTTCCAGCTGCACGTCGCCTAGGCCACGCAATGCACGCAGTAATGGAAGCGCCTCAACCCTTGGCCTTCGCGCCCCTCGTAAGGCACGGAAACTCCAGAAAGCAGCAGACCCACCAGCTCACTCAAACGCAGCACAGGCGCCAGTTGTAAACTCTGCCTGCCCTCCTCCCTCCTGCGCTGCTTCAGCGTTTCCCGGGAACCTCCAACCGATGCGCAAAACTCACACGCCCTAGCTTCAAAGAGCGAGCGACTCTGAAGTGAGCTCCAGGGTCGCCTCACATACTGCCACCGCTGCTTCCAGCTCCAAAATATGTCTGGAGAGGGGATGAAAAGGTAGTGAAAGTCACCAAGGGCTGCGTCTTCGTCGCTAATAGTTTGGTGCCTCCAGGCTGACTGACTGCAAGTGGGGTGGGTAAGATTTAGAACAGCTCTGGTGCACCATGGACAAGGGCTGCTTCTGCTCCTCCTCCTGTTCACACCCCTTTGAATTTGGGAACTCAAGGGGAAGGGACAGAGTAAGGAGAGTGGGAAAAGATGCCAACCCCAAATCTCCCATTCCCTGGTTTAAAAACGCGCTTCTCTTTTCTTTCGCGGGAGAAGGGAAGCACGACCCAGCAGCGCCGTCTAGCGTTCATACCAGAGTAGGCTGAGATATAGGGTTGAGGCGAACATTTAGCTGAGTGTATACAGCTGTGAGAAACCACTAAGCACTTTTTCAGTTTTCCTGGTCCTCAGATTCAGCCACTGAACCTAGTTGCCCACCTATGTAGTTCCCCGCAGGCCAGAACTTATGTTTTAAAAGTACAAGCCACACTTTTTATTTATAATGTGAGCTCCATTCCTCCATGTGAAGGACCTTTAAATCTCAAGGCTTTCCAGTTCCTCCAGTCAAAGGGCAGGCAGATAAGGTCCTGGGACTTTGGTGTGTTTTGGGGAAAGATGTCTCTCACAGTTAGAAAACAGTGATCTGCATGCCTGAGGCTTGCCAGCCATGCCCTTGATCGCCTGCTCTCTGACATCCTGCAGCCAAATTCTTCTCTTTAAGTGGAACAAGGGTAAGGGACTATGATCCAGGATGCTTTAGGGTCTAGACTACAGCAGTGAGCATTCCTATTTCCACCCCAGGTATCTTCCAGAATGTTCCCCTGGGCTCTTGGGCACTGGGTTAACACATTTAACATGATTGCTTATTTAATGGGTCAGCTGACCGCTGTGTCAGCATTTTCTGCTACTCCGGGTTTCTGATTTTTTCTTTGAGCTTTTTCCAGCTGTTTTCCCAAGGCTACCAGCATCATTCTGCATTAGCCATGGGGCTAGCAAAGAGGAGAGGGACATAGTGCAGACCTATGCCTTTGCCATCTGCTTCCTTGGCCCCTTAAACTCCACTCACAATCTACCCAACTTTTAATACTGAAGGCTGTGCATGATTAAGTTATTTTCCCACTCACACCTCTCTTGCCAACTTTATGCATTGTGTGGAGAATCCTACCCATAAAATGTCACAAAAAGCCACCTCCCATCATGGAAAATTCCTTCTGTAATTGCAATTAAAATCAGAAATCTAAAGAGGTCTGATGTGAAAGGTCAGGTCAGGAATACTGCTATGTGCTCTGGTTTTTGTTGTTTATGTGCATGGAGACAAAGCAGGCTGTACTGTGAACAAGGAACATGCTCTTCAGTTTTTGGTTTGGTTTAATAGTTCTTATTTTCAAATAAAATCATAGGAATTGCCACAGAATCTTCCTCTTGCTATATAGTTGTTGCAAGCATCTCTCTGCCTGGTTCCTTGTCATATGCAACACACATCACCACTTCAGGCTGCCACTACCACCCCAATCTACATCCAACCCTGTGCCTCTATTACCCTTGCTGGCCCTCAATGCCATGTGTTTCCAACAATCTGATAATGGCAACGATATAGAATGTAATGCTCAGAAAAACACTATTTCATGAAGTCTTTATTGTCTCTCTGGTGCATGCAGTCTGTCCCTGATCATAACACCAACATTCAGACCCGTGAGACTTAGCTGAGCAGGTGGGCTATCATTAATGAGACCATTTGGCCGAAGCACAAAACCCTCCACTTAGACAGTTAAGAAGCCAAAAATCAGGGTGAAAGGAGATAATTCAAAGTGTATGCTAGTCATTGGATCTATAGGCAAAGTGTCAATAGCTAATATATACATTAAAAAATAAAACAAATTTTAAAAATCTGGCCCTGTCCCATTGATACCTCCTTTCATTATCTTTCTGCATTAAATTTGATTTAATGTCACTATAATGTCCAGTGACTATATCATGTTTTGTACATTCACCCCATTCAAATTTCCTGTATCTTGTACCTACAGTTCTTTCAGTAGTTTCTCTGATGACAGTAACTGGTATCCCCGACTGATTAATACCTAAATAATCTAGCTAACCTTTCTGTGGAAGATAACCTCACCCTGAACGAGAGAATTTAAGAAAACTTTCCAGAATCGGGACTTGAAAGAACCATGGAACACCAGTGGTTTTTCTGTGGATAAGAGAGCAGCTGGTGGATCTGATCAAAGAGAGCTGCTTGTATGGACAATCCTACTAGTCTGGTGTATGGTTAAATGACATGATCTCAAAGGAGATGAGGATGTGGGAATACAAAAAGGACTACAATGCCAAAAAAACAGAGAAGGAAGTAGTACCTATTCAGAAAAAAAAAAAAAAAAAAAACTTAGTAAAGCTTTATTACTTAGTACTTTGTTCCTTGAAGTTAAATCAATGGAACAGCAGTTGAAGCATGAACTACTGGTTTGTTAAAATTCAGAATGTCAGACCCAACCCCCAAGCCTAACAAATCATGTTCTTCACCATAACAAGACCCTCAGGTAATTTTGTATACATATTAACACTTAAGAAGTATTTTCAGAAAAATCTTTTAAATTTACCTGGCCCAGGAAAAAAAATGAGGGTAGTGTTTTAATTACCAAAGGAGGTAATAATGAGCCCATGGCCAACAGTAAGTACTTAAGATCAAGATCATGGTCATATTTTAAAGGTAATTAGGCCCCATCTATTCCATAAGTCAAGTATAATCCTTAAATTATGGTTAGTGACCTTCCAACTAATGGTCACGACCTTTTAGCAGAAATGCTTCAGTTGTATGAAAGAAATAGGTGAGAGTATAGGCATAGCTTAGTACAACTCAATCACTACTTCTATACAAACAATTCCTATGTCTCACTAGAGTAGTACTGAGTTCACCTTCTCAATATTTGTTCTCTCATTACTAATAAGAGCTGATAACCATTTCATAATGCCAAAAGTCTTTAAAAGATTAACAATTGAGATAAGTAACTTTGCAAAAACTAATTTTATTCTTTCTGTCAAGACAAATTACAAGTTTCTTGTTAGGATAGCAAGAAGGGAGACTAGAAAACAGTTGTGTGTGTATCGACTATATGCCAGTTGCTGTAAATAGTTGATTTTATTTCATCCATATTCCTACACTTGGTTGATGATCAGAATTGCTCATTTAGTATCCTGTAGAAGATTGGGAGCCAGGTGTGTTGGTACATGTCTGTAATCTCAGCACTTGGGAAGCTGAAGCAGGGGGTTTGCTGGGTTCAAGGTCAGCCTGAACTACACAGCAAGAACTTGTCTCAAAACAAGTGGGACAAAATACAGACCAATAAAAATTGCAAACCTTCAAGCAAAGAGAGAATTTTATCAATGTAGAAAAGATGACACAAACCAGCTAGAAAAAATCATCCCAATAGAAAATAGGCAAAGGAAATGAACATGCTTTAAAAAAGCAAATAGTTGTGTAAATTGAGAAATAACTAAAGCCTAAACTATAATTAACAATGTTAATAGTATATACTATTGGTGAATATGTAAAGAACAGATTGTTTCATTCACAGTTATCTGGACATAAACTAGTGCAAGCACTTTGGTAAGCAATGTGGTGATATCAATTGAAATTACAGGTATATACATATTCAAAAATATTTCTGGGCAAATGATCAGTAATTGAAAAGAGTCATTGTGTTTTGAAGGAGAGGAACTTGGCAATGAGGGGTGAGAGGCAAATTTACATTTCACGACCTAGTGTAATGGCTTTGATTACTATTCCCAATTCTTCATGCCCTCATCAGTATGGAACTGGTCATTCATTCCCTTTACTTTATAAATTTCAGTACCTCCTACTCCACTGAATTGAGCCCTGAGACTAAGCAAAGGAACATTAACAAACTTGTTGTTAATAACTTAACCTCTTATGTTTCTACCATCCACCAGCAGTCCTGGATAGCTCCAGTTTCAAAAACAATGGTGAAACAACAACTAAATAATATAGTACAACTTACATTTAGAAATATTCCAAAAGGGCACCCCCATGATGACTGAAGCTGGAGTTTATCCCAAAAAAAGGAGCAACGCACTAGTGTCCCCCAACAACAGGGCTTTCATGGATTCCATGAGGTGAACATTGCCACCTGCCAACTCTGAGTAACCTCTAATTTTCTTTCTCCTTGGTGTGGGGCACTGACCAACCAACCTGATTATGGACAAGGCCAGCACCCAGAGAGACAAAGTAAGTCCAGAAGTTTGGCAGATTCAAGGAAAATAAATGGACCAAACAAGTAGCACTAACTCCAATAAAAGTCCACAGATATTGTAAACTACAAAAACAGCATGTGGTTATACTGCAAAGTGACTCCATGGCAAGCTAGAATAGGAGAAGAAATTCAATGCAGTGCCTGCCATATTGCCTGAGACTGTTTAATCAGTTGTGATTCTGGAAAGTGATTAACTGTGTAAGAATGAGCTACAGAACAGCTATAGAATAACTCCACTTCAGGATTTTCTGTCACCTTCCTTCCATGAGTGGGTCAGAGACAGCCAAGGGAAACAGTTGTGCTGAGGATAGTGTTAGACATAGACCTCCACTTTCCACAGGGAGAAACCAGGCCTGATGACTGCAGCTTTCAGAAGTGTCTAGATTGGAAAATGCTAGTATTGAGTCCAGCTGTCTTCTAGAACCACTGCCCCGTGGCCCATATCTAGCAAAGACCAGGGTTTGAAATAGTTCTGGCTAGGTTTAAGGGTATGAGGGCTACACCCAGCCTAGGGAGGGTAGCCTGCATACAATATAAGATACAGAAAGAATCTTGTCTCCCCACCACCACTGCCCCCTTGCTTTTGCTGTCTTCCGCCATCATGAACTGTTGTCCCTCTGCCATGTGCCACCCTGTCGTGGAGGCAGCTGATTATGGACTGAAAACTCTACAAACTGTGATCTAAATAAAGCCTTCCTCCACTAACATTGGATTTTGGGTATTTTGTCTCAGCAAGGAGAATAGTATATAAAACAATTCCCTACCAAAAAACAGTACTGGTAGGATCTTGGGAAAGAGAGAAAAGGTCTATAGTTAGCCACGTCCAGAGCCACGTCTGTCTGAAAAACAGATATTGACCAAAGACATCTATAAACAAGCAACAAAGTATGTCTTACAGTGTAGTCAGTCCAAAAAATCTCAGCACACATGCACAAAAAAAAATAACAGTCAAAACTTGGGAAGACAAGGCAATAAAATGCATGCCAAAACTTCAAACTCCACCAAAGCTTAGCACAGG